ATACGATTTAACCAAACACAGTAAAGGGCCTCATGTGTTGTTTTAATAATTTTTACATAACAATGATATTTCAATTAATATTCAATTGTTGAATTAGTGGACAAACAAATTGACCAGCAAGCCGCTTCAGAATTAGCTTTAATATCAAGTAATGATATTACGAAGATAAGTAAGATATTCATGTAATAATTAACATGAGATGTAGCAGGTTCAAAATGTTTTTCATCAAAGCATTGACTTGATATTGAATGACTCAAAAATAAAACGATAAATTGAGTAAAATAAAATCTTGACTCAATTGGCACTTTTGGTTTTATTTATAAGTAAACTACAGAGATTGAAACTGCAAAACGATTAGCTAATAGCCTTTCATCAAGTCCAACGCTGTATGTGGGAACAGCAATGAGAGCAATCATCCATATTTCTCAAATTATGGTGAATGGAATGCATCTACTGTCGATTGCTCGGTTAAAGCAATTTTTTAGTGACCCATTTAAAGCAATTTTCACAGTCGCCATCTATGATTTTTTGAAAATTTACATTGTTTTTACAATTTGGTAACAGTCTAGTTAGACGGACACAAGGAGGAGCGTTAATTTAACACACGATTTAAACCAATCACAGTAAAGGTCCTCATGTGTTGTTTTAATAATTTTTACATAACAATGATATTTCAATTAATATTCAATTGTTGAATCAGTGGACAAACAAATTGACCAGCAAACTTCTTCAGAATTAGCTTTAATATCTATCTCTATTGTGTTATTCTCAATTTTTACATTTTATTGATTGATATTAAATTCAAACAGATTGTCTTGATTGGTTACTGATTTAAAAGTCTTGCTAGTTACGCCTTGTGTCCGTGTAACTAGACTGTTACCAGGTTATCTATCAAAAAACCAGAGACATGTTCGTCTTAACGACAAAGATAAATTTAAAAATATAAATTTTATGCAGATATGTATAATGCTATTTTTTTAACTGAAGGCTTAGGCCTTTGTACGGGACCGGCTTTATTCCACCACATTTTTTACCATATTTTCACCGTATTTTCCACCATATTGTCCACCACCCAATCTAACACATCCACCTAATCAACCAAATCAAACTTTATCACTTTTTAAAGAGACTTTTCTCAAAAAAATTATCCACCAAATTGTCCACCACTTTCATCCACCACTTTCATCCACCACTTTAGAGTGGCTTTCATCCACCACATTTTCAAACAATTTTTTATAAGATTATCCACCACCCAAATCATACCGAATTTTGACCATTTTTACCATAGATTTCTATTGTTTAGTGTCTCTTGAAACTGTAAATTCTCGAGATGGCGATACTTAAAATTAACTTAACTGTGACGGTCACAGTGTGACCCTTTTTTGTTAACTTAACCCTGAGCACTAGTGAATTACAATGATTACAAAATCTCTGCTAATCAATCATATCTCTAATAATTTCAGTTCCGGGTTTGGCTAGCAACCGACTTCTTCAATCAAGGTATTCTTGTTTCGATGGTCCAAGAGTTTGGTAATCGTTTCATTCTTCAATCACTTGGAAAAATTGTTGGACAATTGTTTCTTTTTAGTAACGACCATATTTACCTGATCAAGCAGATGGGTAAATCAAAAATCAGACCTAAAGCTAGCCCAAGTAAAAGTGAAACAACAAGCGTAGAAACTTTCAGTTGATGAAAGCACATTCTATACTAATTATCACTAATTAACGTGTAATATATAAAAGAGGAACTATTTCGTGAAAAATTTAAACTATGACCAAATGGATGTTAATCATGTTAAAACTCACATAAGAATTAAAAGCTTTTATTCCAATGAACTCAATTGATTTTTTAATATCAATAATAATGAATTATAACGATAATCACCAACAATCTTCACTATTCCAGATCGATTTTAAAAAATTTCAATATCATACAGGATGAAACAGCATCATCAATCTTTTGGCTCCTCAAAGGGGTAAAAAGGATGATTCTTGGTAGCATCAAAAGTAACCATACGTTGCTCTCTATCTATATCTCTGATAGCATCCATTTCTGGTCCGGTCAGCTCAAAGTCAAAAATGGAAATATTCTCGACCAATCTGTCTTTATTTGATGTTTTTGGAACCACAGAAATTCCTCTCTGAATGTTGTACCTCAATGCAATTTGAGCCCACGTTTTATTGTATTTATATGACAATTGTACCAGAACGGGGTCCTTTGATAAATTTGAAGATCCTCCTTTACCAATAGGTGTATAAGCGGTAACATGGACACTTTGGGATTTACAGTAATCAACCAACTCACAGTTGCTTAAATATGGATGGACCTCAAATTGGTTAACAGCTGGTTTAATGTTACAGTTTGCGTGTAAGCGTTCAAGCTGATCTATGTTGAAGTTGGAGACACCAATTGATTTGGCTAAACCAGCCCTGAATACGTCTTCCATACCTTTCCAGGTTTCTAAGTAGTCAACATCAGAGATTTTAAGGCCAGATTCAGGATCATTACTATAGCCCATAGGCCAATGAACCAAGTAAAGGTCAAGATATTCAAGACCTAAATTTTCTAGACTTCTTTTGCAGGCTGACATCACTTGAGATCTTTCATGGCTATCATTCCAACATTTAGATGTTATCCAAATATCTTCTCGCTTTAATTTGCCTGAGTCGAGAATTCGGTTAACTGCTTGACCATAAGAGTATAATCACTACTTTGCACCAGTGAGAAGAGGATAATTAACTCTTCATTACTTGCATGATTTTTGGTATCGGTTAGCTACTTTTAGTAATGACAAGAATATGAGCTTAGATATTTGCGTATATTCTATTCATAATAATCCCTTCACTTGGACAACCTTGGTAAAGCTGTCATGTAAAAATTTATTCATGTGAATCTAATCATTTTTCTGAATAGTTTCTACGAGATTGTTCGAAGTACTGTGAGTAAACAAACCTTCCAATGTTACCGTATATTCCATTCATAAGAATATTCATTTTTTGTTAGATGATTTATTCAATCAGCTTTTCTTGGAAATAGTCTGGAACTATTAAAAATATCAAGAATATTCTCTCACTTTCATCATTTAATCTTTTAGATATCAAGTGAAGCTGATCTTGATCATTTAATTAACCAAATTGATCTTGAGTTATATCTAAGATTCAAATATTCTCGATTGATTCTCAGTTAAAACGTTTAAAGTATTTTCTTATTATCACCATCATCTTTTAAGATCAGCAATTTAGCTGAATTAGTGATTACTGTTAAGTATTATTAATGCTTAATAATCATTTTTATTATGATGTGTTTAGGGATAAAAGAGTTTAAATGATTGATTTGATGACAATGGCAATTTCTTGTCTGAAGTACCTTCTTCATTACCTGAGCTTCCTAGGCAAAAATATTTTATCAATAAGACAACAGTCCAGCTGAAAGCCTACTTCCAAAATATGACCAAAGCTTGACGCTTCAAAGCTATTAAATACTAGTAACACTTAATAATTGTACTAGTTAAAATAGTTAAAACTTTCATTTATAAACATAACTCCATATTCAATTCAAGGTTTGTTTTTGTTCAATATGTAATCTTTCATCTTTCTTGCTCGATCTTTGATTTGTTTTATTAACCTTGATTCGACTTGATTTGTATTCAATAAATCACTTTCATACACCAAATTGAAATAATCACCTTTTCAATCAGCACTACTAGCAAGATTTAGACATTTAAAGATTGCAGACTACTTTGTCATACAAATAAGATTAGGTCATCATTTCCAGCCTGTTGCAAAAACATGATTGCAGTCCCAATAGTGTATAATAGGTTTTCAATACTTACAATGAACTTTGAATTTCAGGCGATTAAAAAAGATTAGAAAATGTCTTAAAGCTGTTTAAAGACAAATTTGCCATTAATGATGGTGATGAAATTGAGGACCTTTGGAAATCAGAAAATGTATAATAGCATTATAGTATTATAGCAGTATAATTTTACGCGTGATTTTTATAACGTCGTGTTTAATAACGGATTGGCTTCTTCGAAGATTTTATTCATTTCATAAAGATTGTCTTATGAGACCGGAGAGAGCTCTTTATCATAAGGTGTTCTGATCTATCAGAATTATTTAACTAATTGAATGTTGATTAGACCTGAGAAGATCGCTGTTTTTTAGGATCGATACGGATCGATCTCGATGAAAATCGAGCTAATCTGTTTTACATAAAATTAGTAGGTATATTGAACTATTAGAACTATCTTTAATGTAACTAATCGTATTTTAATTTTTTAAAACTTCGTTGTGTGTTGTTGATAAAATTGTATAATTTGAAATTAAATGGGAGGCCACAACCCAGTTGATTGGACCTGGGTACAGAACAAATGTTCCGTCATCTAATTCACTTGAGGCTTCTGGATTTGTAGTTTTCTCAGGGTAAATTGAGATTCTATCGACAAAATTTACAATATTAATTATAAAGTAATCGTCTTTTTCGATTGTCGGGAAAAGTGAAGCAGTTTCAGGATCCAGCTCAAGATTTATAGCCAATTGCGGTATTAAAGAGCCTTCCTCAGAGAGTTTATAAGCCCCATTCATCAAAAGACAACGAGCAGCTCTTATAAGGTTGAGTTGAAACTCCTTGTCTGAGTACTTATCTCTGGCCTCTTTGGTTAGATTGAATTTCATGTCTAGATCAATGTGTTTCGAATCGATCCTTATTGGTCCATGCAAAGTGCTTGTTTCATTCTTGAATAAATAGAGATAAATATTGTCATTGGAATCGAATCGCACTTTGCACAATTCACAGTATCGATGACGAAGGATACTATCATTCCTCCATAGTCCCCATGGTTGGTCTTTCACTGTGTCTTCACGATTCATAGATTGTAAGTCAACACTGGTTTTGATATTCATATAATAATTGACATAAGCTGTAGCAGGTTCATCCATTCTATTTTCACATTGACTCGATATTAAATGAATCAAAGACAAAACGATAAATTGAATAAAACAAAATTTTGAAGCCATTGGCAGTTAGGATTTGAAGTTACAGAGTTTGAAACAAAAAACAAATAAACAAAATACAATTTGTGTTTATTGAGCCCAGTTCGGGATAAAATGCCAACACACAAAAGTCTCCATTTTTTAGCCAAAATGGTTTTTGGGAAATAATCTGATAATCGAGAGGATCTGGTGATAAGTTACAAGTAACTTGACCGGTTATTCAAGTCCATTGAAAAATTTGATGCAAAAACAAGGAAGTGTCGGAAATAAAATGCTAAATTTTCATTTTAAATACATTAGTTGCCAGCTAGTGAGCATTAGTTGTCCATTCAGATGATATTCAATTCCTAATTCAACCAAATTCAATGGATTTTCAAATTTTGTTTTGTTTTTCTCTATTGTTTCCATTTTCTTCGTTGATGCTCATAAAGGAGATAAAATCTGGTTCTGATGTGAATAAATTTAGAAATTTCATTAGACTATTTCATGGTAAGTCTATCTGATATTTAAATATTTCATCCAAATAATCTTATACCTTGAACCTAATGAACAAGTTTGAAAAATAAGTAAATGTTATCAATGTGAAATGAGGATGTCAAAAGTTTCCTATTTTCCGATCACTTTTATAATAATTTTTTATTATGTATTTTTTGTTTGCTGATTTCAATAATACAGCTTAGAAAATTAAGTTTCGCCCATCAACATTTAAAGATACGCATCTGGATTGATAAGACTAGTAAATCAATTGTAAAATCAATGGAGATTTTGATTAAAACTAATCTTATCGATTTAGATGCGTATCATTGAAGCTTGATGGGCGAAACTTAATTTTCTAAGCTGTATAAATCATTTCTCGGTCAAAGTTACCGTTCAAGAGATTTGAGGATAGAGGAATGCAAAAACTTCATGATTGAAAGTTAGAATTTAGTAAATTATGAAAGTGGTCTGAGTTTGGGCAATTTTCTCAATTCATTTTGACATCCTCCTTATGGGACAAAAGAGTAACATTCAACTGATTGTGGTGATTATCAAAGAGTAAGATTATACTCTTTGGTGATTATGACGATGAAAATTTTGATAAATATAATGCATTTTCACATCATTGTCCATTTTAATCTTTATCTTCATCTTATCAATATCTTTATGGTAATAATCACCACACTCAGGTAGCTAAATGTTACTCTTGTGCTCCCATTTCACATTTAAACAATAAAATATGTAAAAATTATTCCCTTCTAGCGGTCACTCCACCGCGATGCTTCTGGAGCAATGCTACTTACGATAGATATCCAAGTATAATTGGCTCAAAACTTTTGGAAGAGGATGTGGTGATTCGCACTTTTCCAAGTGAAGCAAGTTTGTATCGTGAAAATACCGAATTAACCAAGAAAATGAGCATGGAACTGGAAAGCTGTTATGGTTTATCGAAATCATCATTTGATAAGACAGACGTCGTCATGTTGACATTGATAGAGAAGGATATTGATAATGTTACATCAAATATTATTAAATCTATCAGAGTTGATCCTCTTTCAGTTGATTTCTACCCTCACAAACTGCCCATGGAACAAGTCAAGGAATATGTTGAATTTTTCCGATACAGTCCAGACAAACCATTTTGTAAATCTGTCTGCAATGATCTAAACAGAGGTATCGAAGTAGATGTTATAAGTTACAGAGAGTTTACACAAAGATGCCCGAAAATTAGTTGTCCAGCTTTTCTAGAGGAAACGGATTATCCGAAATTAATGGCAGAAATGGAAAAATTCATCAGAACCATGAAATATCTCCTTTTATTAGTCATTCCATTGCCTACAGAGTTTTGGATTGCAGGACAATGGACAGTTCTTGAAATTGATAACAAAACTGCTTCATTATTTCCAAAATTGACTGAAAAACATTACTTTATTGTCACTTTCATTGATAACAAGAAAAAACAGACTAAAGCTCGAAAAATTGATGAATGCAGAATTATTTTGAATTAAACTCAATTCATTATGCTCGCTAATTTTTCGCTAAACTTTTTTATTACAATCATAAGGTAGTGGAAAGAAAAATTTAGACATAAATTGTTTTGCTGATTATTCAGCAACCAGATTACTTAAAGAATTTATTTTTGTGAATTTTAGTTAATTGAATACTCATAATACACCCCAAGTAGCTACTTTCGCTATTCAAATTCTATCTCATGAAAAAAATCGAAGAAAGTAATCTTTGTCAAACTTTTCATTTTTTGAAATTTAATATTATTTCCAATGCAATTTTTCGCTAACTCCTTGTTTAATTTTCAAATTTTTGCCTTTTTTGGCCTTTTTATGATTCAAAAAGATTGAATCTTTTTCGTAAATTTTAAATTATAGTTTTTTGCATAATTTGGTCTATGCTGAAGATCTTAATCAAGTTTAAAGTTAAACTCGGATAACTATCGACCTTTTCTGAGGCCATTTTCAATAATCCGCTTCTATTTGCCGCTCTCGAATTTGTGGACTTTCACCAAGTCCTTTGACGATTTCAAAAATTATTTATTATGAATGGTTAAGTTGCCAGTTCGATATCTGAAAAAATGGTGCCCTTAAGTCTAGCCATTCTGTCGCAAATAAATTTTGAAATTATGTCTAAATTTTTATTTCCACTACCTTACATTATTAAAATTAACTTCATTAAGCTTGAACCATTATATAAGATTTTGATTATAAGATTAGACAACATTTGAGTCTTTAAATGTGGATTGGATTTATTGTATTCGGTGAAAAGAAATTTACGATCGAAGCTCAGCTTGTTTAATGGTGCAGTTTCATCTATTTACAATTGTTTACACCAAATATGCTCCAAGTAATGCTTTGGCATTTGATCTTACCTATTTATTGTTGTTAATAATTTTGATTAACTAGTTTACTGTTTTTTATTGCTATTTTTTGATAAATCATTATGTCCGTTGGATCAGGAGCAGATGATTAAGCCTCATTGCGTTCCTGAGAGTTACAAAATTCATCATTTGAAAAGTATTGAAGAATGCATGAGGTTGGGTTATTTTTTGGTAAACACTACGAGCCATTGATTCAGTTCGGAAATTAATGAAAAAAGCTCCTGAAATGAAAATATAAATACTGAAAGTTGACGTTTCTGACAGCTTCCCATTTTTTAGTCCGATAATAAGTCAAACCAAATGTTTTGGGAAAAATAAGCCCAAACCCAGTAAGCCTAGCCATTAGCCGAATTTGTAATGTCCCAACCCGAACGATTAATCATATTCATCAAGTAGCCGAGACATAATCTTTAAGCGTTGAAATTAAGCACAAAATCATCTTTGAACTCTTTCATAACACGAACGTCATAGACAAACTGAATTCTTTCGTTAACTAGTTCATTTGTAGCTATTTCTGGGATAAAAGTAGCAATGTCCTCTCTGGCTGAAGCACCTTTTTTGTTGACAGTTTTGCGAATAAATAAGGTTCTCGTAGCAAATCGATCCTTATTCATTCTGGTTGATGCGTGATTGTGGAGTAAAAAAATAAAGCAATGGGTAAAAATAGATTAGCCACAGCGATATGAGTCTATGAGTTTTTAATGGTTAATCGAGAAAATAAACTTTTACCTCTAACATAATTTCCCATTAAATTGATAGGTAAAATGATGAAAATACAAAGTACCGATATGATGGCCAGAAAAAAGATGAGATGTCGCAAAAATAAGAGATAATTCAAAGCGTCAACGCCACGTCTCTCGAGAATGGCTTCATCTGAGATTGAAAAAAATCCTCCTAAATGAGTTTCTTTTTTATCCGACTCGGAACTTGCACGACCCTGTCTCAAATTAAGATAATTAAGTTTTTGATTAAAAAAGGGTGATTGATGAAGCGATTCTTATATGTAAACAATCTACAATTTTAAGTTCATTGAATGCTACAGATTTTGATTCATTCGTGGTTTTGATTTCATTTGCTAATGTTGCTTCAACACTGTGAAGCGACGGTTCATGTGATGTCTGACTCAAAGAGTATATAGAGGTAGCACGCAATGTTAACCATCTTTTTAGATGAGAAAAGGAGCAGAACGCGACGGCGCCACTAGCAATCCTTTTAATTTTTGGAATTTTTTCATCTCTTTTTCTCTGCTAACTCCTTCTTTTCCTGCGTCTTTTAACTTTCTTATCTCTCTTATCTATAGCTCTCATTACAGTCTGAATAGCAAATTAATAACAATACATATTATGTAAACCCATAACATTTAGATGCATTCCATTCACCATAATTTGAGAAATATGGACGATTGCTCTCATTGCTGTTCCCACATACAGCGTTGGACTTGATGAAAGGCTATTAGCTAATCGTTTTGCAGTTTCAATCTCTGTAGTTTACTTATAAATAAAACCAAAAGTGCCAATTGAGTCAAGATTTTAATTTATTCAATTTATCGTTTTATTTATGAGTCATTCAATATCAAGTCAATGCTTGGATGAAAAACATTTTGAACCTGCTACATCTCATGTTAATTATTACATGAATATCAAAACCTTGCTGCACTTTTACAGATAACACTTATCCTACGGAATCTCAACTTAACCTTATGAAATATGCTCGATGCCTTTTGATGTTTAAGGCTTAAAGAATCTCTGATGAATTTGATTCGATACCTCATTTTAATATTAATCTTGAGCTGGATCCTAAAACTGCTTCACTTTTCCCGACAATCGAAAAAGACGATTATTTCATAATGAGTATTATAAATTTTGCCGATAGAATCAAAATTTATCGCGAGCTTGTTGGTGAGTTAGCTACTATGATGACTCATTGGGAACCAGGTTCGATCAACTGAATTGTGGCCTCTCATTAAATTTTAATTATACAATTTTATCACCAACACACAACGAAATTTGAAAATTTCTATCAAACACAAATTAATGAAACATGCTGCCTGTGTGGCAAAAACCTAAAGCGCCAACAGACAAATCAGTCGTCTGTTGAGACCGGTGGTCTTTTCTTTCCAAAGGATCCAATCTTTCCAACTCTGAATATTTGCGCATATAATAAAATAGCATTTTCATAATTAATATTGAATATTTACATTTTTATCTAATTGAAAACAAGCCGCGAAACCAGTCAATTCTATTCATAATTCATAAAATACAATTAAGCATACTGAATAACATGGCTTTTAGATTTAATTTTGTTCAACTGTAGAACTAGATTTCATTTTATTTTTATTTTTTCTCATTGACGATAATTTTTTTCATTAAGAATCTGATGAGTCTTTAAATGTGGATTGAATTTATTGTACTTGATAGAAATTTTGATAAGTCATGATCGCTGAAACCTCTAGTTTATTATTATCTTTTTACATACAAAAACAAAACAAATAAAATATATAAATATTACGCTAACATCGCACCTACTGTCCCGACTAGGACGTCCCGTTCTGTTTTATCGTATTGTCATACAAATACGATAAAACGTGAAATTTCTGTGGTTTCGAAAACATCAAATGGAGACAGATTGGTCGGGAATATTTCAATTTTTGACTTTAAGCTGACCGAATCATAGAATTGATTTGGAATAGTGAAGATTGCTGGTTATTGTCGTTATAAAGCATTCGTTGATATTAAAAAAAATCAATTGAGTTCATTGGAATAAAAGCTTTTTATTTTTAGGTGAATTTCAACATGATTAACATCCATTTGGTCATAGTTTAAATTTTTCACGAAATAGTTCATATTTTATATATTACACGTTAATTAGTTGTATTTAGTATAAAATATACTTTCATCAACTCAAAGTATCTACGCTTGTTGTTTCACTTTTACTTGGGCTGGCTTTAGGTCTGATTTTTGATTTACCCATCTGCTTGATAATATCAGGTAAATAAGCACAGCAGCACCAATTTGGATTACTTTCCGAATTATTCTTTGATCCTTTTTTGCCTTTTGAATTCTGGTTATTTCATAGAAAAAAATTAGAAAAATTAGTAAAAATAGTTTAATTTGATCGATTAGTGGAAATATGATAATGGTGAAAAACTTACTCTCATGAATTCAGAGGTTCTAGAGGATTGGATAACGTAAGTTAGACATGGAAGAAACATTATTGATAACAGTAGAAGGATAAGATCAAATGCCAAAGCATTACTTGGAGCATATTTGGTGTAAACAATTGTAAATAGATGAAACTGCATCATTAGAATTGTTGAGAAAAACATGAAATTAATCTTTCGGTAAGTTTTATTTGAAACTTGGCTTGGATATGCAGAATGATAAAGAATATGACGATCCACGAAATATTTAATGATGATAAATATTAGGCCTAAAAATGGGGGGAAACAAGAAAAATAATGAATAAATAAATTTGATAAAAATAAATGAAACGAAATAAATTACCGCAGATTGTTATTATGGGACATGATATACTGTATAGTAGTATCATGGTCAACATGAAAAGCGATCGAGAATATTTCAATCCTAGATTAAACTCAAGATCAATTTGGTTGATTACATGATCACGCTCAGCATCATTTGATATTTTAAAAATCAAATGATAAAAGTAAGTAAATATTCTTGATATTTTCAATAATTCCAGTCCATTTCCAATAAAAGCTGATTGAATAACGTATATAACAAAAAATGAATATTCATATGAATGGAATATACAATACCATTGGAAGGTTTGTTTACTCACAATACTTCGAACAACTTCGTGGAAACTATTCAAAAAAATATGATAAAATTATGATTAGATTTACATGAATAAATTTAATTTTTACACGACAGCTTTACCTAGATTGTCCAAGTGAAGGGATTATTATAATCATAAGAATCATAAAACAATAAACTCTCCACATAACTCCATGTGTCTGTTCAGATTTCAGTGGATCAGGAACAAGAGATGAAAAATAATAGACAACGCTAGGCAATATAGAGGCCACGAGTAGAAGAACCAAAGGTTTCAAGAATTGAGCTAGAAATGAAATGGGTTTCAATTCATGTTCATACTTTTTCTGGAGCTCAAAGAAGGCAGAATTGGCAGGAAAATTGGAAATGTATGGTAAAATGAATGATGGTGTGGTGCAGAAGAAGAAGATGATGAAAAGTAAAAAGTTAACTCCAAATGTTCGGAACCACATTCCTTTTTTATTGATGACCAAGGCATCCCAGTTTATGTCCGTTGGATCAGGAGCAAATGATGCTTGCCATGATTCAGCCTCATTGCGTTCCTGAGAATTACAATATGAATTATTTGGAAAGTATTGAAGAATGCACGAGGTTGTGTTAATTTGTTGATAGACACTACGAGCCATCGATTCAGTTCGAAAAGTGATGAAAAAAGCTCCTGGAATGAAAAAGTAAATTGTGAAAACATGACATAATAAACGGATTATCTATCGATGAAAATCATATTTACCTTGTGCATTTCCCATTGTTTTGGTGTATTCGCGGAGCAAGTTTCTGACAGCTTCCCATTTTTTGGTTCGATAATAAGTCAAACCAAATGTTTTGGGGAAAAATAAACCTAAACCCAGTAAGCCTAGCCATTGGCCGTATCTGTAAGGTCTCAACTCGAAAGATTCATCATATTCATCCAAGTAGTCGAGACAGAATTTTTCAGCGTTGAAATAGAGCACAAAATCATCTTTGAACTGTTTCATACCACGAACGTCATAGACAAACTGAATTCCTTCGATAACTAGTTCATTTGTAGTTATTTCTTGGATTAAAGCAGCAATATCCTCTCTGGCTAAAGCACCTTTTTTGTTGACAGTTTTACGAATAAATAAGGTCCTCGTAGCAAATCGATCCTTATTCAATCTGGTTGATGCGTGATTGTGGAGTAAAAAAAATATCCCAATAGGTAAAAATAGATTAGCCACAGCAATATGAGTCCAAAGATATTCAGAGCCAGGTGGAACATTTTCAATGGTTAATCGAGAAAATAAACTTTTACCTCTAACATAATTTCCCATTAAATTGATAGGTAAAATGATGAAAATACAAAGTACCGATATGATGGCCAGAAAAAAGATGAGATGTCGCAAAAATAAGAGATAATTCAAAGCGTCAACGCCACGTCTCTCGAGAATGGCTTCATCTGAGATTGAAAAAAATCCTCCTAGATGAGTTTCTTTTTTATCCGACTCGGAACTTGCACGACCCTGTCTCAAATTAAGATAATTAAGTGATGACTTTTGCGTTTAAAAAAGGGTCATTGATGAAGCGATACTTACATGTAAACAATCTACAATTTCAACTTCATTGAATGCTACAGATTTTGATTTATCCGTGGATTTGATTTCATTTGCTAATGTTGCTTCAGCACTGTGAAGCGACGGTTCAGGTGATGTATGGCCACCAAATGAGTAATGAGGACTTACTGAGCCCAATGGATGTGAGTGATGAATTGTGGACATTGGAACTATATTATGTTGAATTATTCTTGGTCTTTCACAAAATGTAAATACTATCCAACTAATAATATTTGCATTGAACAAAATAAATAAGAAAAGAGATTCATTGAATATAGAGTAAGCATAAAGCAACTAAACTTACCTTTCATTTCGTTTGATCCCTTTTTTGTACTTTTTAACGGCACTATTAGTCAATAGTTTAGTGACAATCATCATTATCTAAGTGTTAGAGAAAAGAATTTAATTAACCTTTTATGAGAAATGTATTAATTGACCAGTTTTTGGTCGATTTAACTTACACCAAAGGCAAGAGCATCCGAGACTAGAACAATTATAATAGCAGTCAAATCGCGAGAGTCTCGCTGAGTAACTAGACCACATGAGAAACTAGATTTACTTTGTTGGCCAATATTCGTGGACATTATAACTCTATTTTACACCGACTACTCGAGTACTCGACAGTATTAAATTGGAGTTGAGGTTGACAAGCCAAAATCAACAATAGTTGAAGTGACTGTGTTTTCATTTTGTTGGATTATACAAATCAGTACAAGAGCCCCGCGAAAAATATTGAAACACAACAATCCTTTCAACCAATCAACATTTGACAAAATTAGTTTGCGAAATTTAAAAATGACAATTTTAATGACTTTAATTTATTTGTTTGGTTTGAATTAAAGGTTTCAGATTAAATTGAGTTGATTATCAGAAGAATAACCGAATGAATTTTCTGTCGTTACTAAAGACACATTCAACACAATTGTCACATTTATTCACAAATTGAAACGAATGGTCAAAAACGGGTAAAAATAAATTTCTTTCAAATTTAGACTCTGATGGTTTGTAGAGACATAAAAACTGAGTCCATTCGTGCGATTCAAAGATTTATCTGATCAATATTTTTCGAGAAAATTGATTTTGAAGTTGAAAACTCGATCGTCTTTCTTCAGCTATGGAATCAGATTTTTCACGAAACTGTCAGTCGGTTTGGCTGAAAATTGAGCTAATCTGTTTTACATAAAATTAGAAGGTATATTGAACTATTAGAACTATCTTTAATGTAACTAATCGAATTTTAATTTTATTTTAAACTTCGTTGTGTTTTGTTGATAAAATTGTATAATTTGAAATTAAATGGGAGGCCACAACCCAGTTGATTGGACCAGGGTACAGAACAAATGTTCCGTCATCTAATTCATATGAAACATCTAAATTTGTAGTTTTCTCAGGGTAAATTGAGATTCTATCGACAAAATTTACAATATTAATTATAAAGTAATCATCTTTTTCGATTGTCGGGAAAAGTGAAGCAGTTTCAGGATCCAGCTCAAGATTTATAGCCAATTGCGGTATTAAAGAGCCTTCCTCAGAGAGTTTATAAGCCCCATTCATCAAAAGACAACGAGCAGCTCTTATAAGGTTGAGTTGAAACTCCTTGTCTGAGTACTTATCTCTGGCCTCTTTGGTTAGATTGAATTTCATGTCTAGATCAATGTGTTTCGAATCGATCCTTATTGGTCCATGCAAAGTGCTTGTTTCATTCTTGAATAAATAGAGATAAATATTGTCATTGGAATCGAATCGCACTTTGCACAATTCACAGTATCGTTGACGAATGATACTATCATTTCTCCATAGTCCCCATGGTTGGTCTTTCACTGTGTCTTCACGATTCATAGATTGTAAGTCAACACTGGTTTTGATATTCATATAATAATTGACATAAGATGTAGCAGGTTCATCCATTATATTTTCACATTGACTCGATATTAAATGAATCAAAGACAAAACGATAAATTGAATAAAACAAAATTTTGAAGCCATTGGCACTTACGATTTCAATTTACAGAGTATGAAACAAAAAACAAATAAACAAAATACAATTTGTGTTTATTGAGCCTAAGTCCGGGATAAAAGGCCAACACATAAAAGTCTCCATATTTTAGCCAAAATGGTTTTTGGGAAATAATCTGATAATCGAGAGGATCTGGTGATAAGTTACAAGTAACTTGACCGGTTATTTAAGTCCATTGAAACACTCAATGCAAAAAGAAGGAAATATCGGAAAATAAATGTAAAAATTTCATTTTATGTTCATTAGCTAATAGCAAGTAAGCACTAGTTGACTATTCAGCTCTTAATCAACTCCTAATTCAATCAAATTCAATGGACTTTCAAATTTTGTTTTGTTTTTCTCTATTGTTTCCATTTTCTTCGTTGATGCTCATAAAGGAGATAAAACCTGGTTCTGATGAGAATAAATTTAGAAATTTTATTAGACTATTTCATGGTAAGTCTATCTGATATTTAAATATTTCATCCAAATAATCTTATACCTTGAATCTAATGAACAAGTTTGAAAAATAAGTAAATGTTATCAATTTGAAAGGAGGATGTCAAAAGTTTCCTATTTTCCGATCACTTTTATAATAATTTTTTATCATGTATTTTTTGTTTGCTGATTTCAATAATACAAATCATTTCTCGGTCAAAGTTACCGTTCAAGAGATTTGAGGATAGAGGAACGCAAAAACTTCATGATTGGAAGTTAGAATTTAGTAAATTAAGAAAGTGCACTGAGTTTGGGCAATTTTCTCAATTCATTTTGACATCCTCCTTATGGGACAAAAGAGTAACATTCAACTGATTGTGGTGATTATGACGATGAAAATTTTGATAAATATGATACATTTTCACATCATTGTCCATTTTAATCTTTATCTTCATCTTATCAATATCTTTATGGTAATAATCACCACACCAAAGAGTATAACAAGAGACAGCATGCAATGTTAATTATCTTTTTGAGATAAGAATAGGAGAAAGGAGCTCAGCTTGATGGCGCCACTAGTAGATTACAGTCAATCAATGAGGAAATACGTATAGTTTACTGTATTACAGTCGACACTATGCGGTTCCCATTATAATGGCTGTAATACAGTAAACTATACGCATTTACCCATTGATTGGCTGTAATACAGTCATTTATATCTATTTTCAAAAGAATGGACTGTATTCATTCAACTCCTTGTACTTATAGACTGTAAACACAAATTATAATGCAAATTGAACAATTATAGTTTCTTAACATTATATAATTATGAGAGAGTTTAAAATCTCTTTGAAATGAAAGCAGAACTTCGTCAACAAGATCGCCACTTGCTCTAACTACAAGTATGAGTTCGACTCGAGGATTGATACAGGATGCCGAATGTTTGTTAGTGTTTTGGATTTACAAATTGCTGATTACCAATGATGATGATGAATTGGAGATTCTCAATCAAAAGAATAAAACAGAACAATCAGAATTCAAGATAACCACTTTGGTTAATAAATGAACAATTGCAAAGTTCAGAACTTTATTAAATGAATAGATTAGTACTGTTGAATTGGTAGATAATGTTGGAACAATTAAACACTCATTCAAGTAAAAACATGAGCGCAGAATTAGAGTTGAATAAAATTTTATATGGAAGGTAAAAGGTTATACTATTGTACTAGTACCTGCCTGCGATTTCTTAACCAATGCTAGCAATACTTACTCCGATAAGGAAACAAAAGTTAATTATTACAATACGAACTCAAACACTTATACTGCAACTAATGACTGTCCGATAGACTGTTGCATCTGGAATGAAGTGTTGATTAAGAATTACGCTGTTAATAAATAGAACTGTGTAGAAAGGCTCGATACAAACACGGAACAGATAAAGCAGACAATTTTTATAATATCAGAAACGTTTGATATGAATTTTTACAATAGACTTTTGATTAGTCAGTTGAACCTACAAATGAATCTAAATGAAAAATAAATATAAGTAAAAAGAAAAACGAAAACAAAATACGCTTATTTAAATTAAGATATCGGAGATTCGGAAGAAGATGGTACATAGGGAGGATTTACAATATTAGATGTTGGAATGGCTGATGTGGATGGTTCAGGATTATAAAAATTAGAGGAAGAGCCGGATGGGATTGAAGAGGTTGATGGAACTGGTGATGAACGGAAACTGCTGCTGGGTAAGTTGGCTTTGGCCTTTTGAATATTTCTGATTGATTTAGAATATTTTATCTCTTGACGAAGATCTTTCAAATACTTTGTTATGTACATATTGATTAATCTCCGTATAATATGGTTTCTGATGGCGGTTTTATGGCAGTCTGGTATAAAAGAAAAGTCTTTTTTCCAGAGTGATTTGAATAGCTGGTATTTAACTCCTACTATGGCGATTAAATTTGGAACTTCTTCCTCTAGCTGGTCAATACAATTGGAAACACAATTGACTAAATCTTGTGATGGAAAAATCAAACGGTTTTCTTGGTTCGGATCATAATTGCGGACGTGAATATATTGATGTTCAGGTAAGGTTCCAGTTGTTGCTAGAACATCTAAACATTCTTGACAGGATTCAGCAGTCTCCTTTACTCTCCTGACGACATATCCAGCTATATAAGAAACCAACCCCTTATCAATAGATGGGTTCTTCATTTGGAGGCATGATGAATCTTCATTGATGTCACAGTTTCTGAAAGTCGTGCAAAACTCTGAAAATTCTTGCGACAACTCTTGATTAAAAGATTCTAAATATGCAGTAAGCTCGGTTTGGAAGTCCTCAGTACTAGATGAAACGCTTTCTATATCTTCATTTGTAAACAGATTGAAATCGTAATCTGGTTCGCAATTCGCACCAAAAGGATGGTTCTGTGAATATACAATCAAAGACTGGCGGAACCTCAAGCGATAAACTGATGTGTTCAAGTGTGGAGCAGAGGACTTGACCATCGCAAAGTGGTTCTCCAAGATATCCTGACAAAATCTTCTCGTGAAAACAGAAGTAAAGCCATGCTCAAACAAGTGCTTGGATGTTGAAACGATTCCTCTTATGGTTGTACTCAGCATTTGTAAGCAATACACACGTCCATATTTAACATCTGTATTTCCAGGTTTTAAGAAGAACAGTTTATCTTCACTAATCAGCTTATCGAATGTTTCAAGAAAAGTAATCAACTCGCTATTTTGTCTCAATCCTGTTTTCCATGGTTTACCGTCCTGATAGCCAGTCGATGATGAATTCAGAATGTCAAAAAGTTTATCGATTACTCGAAAAAGTTCAACAATCAACTTATATTTATCAGAATTGGGATCACCCATCACAACTGCATATGCGAATGATGAAGATACGGTGTGACTGAAGAGTTGTGTAGCCAACTTCACTCTCATCAGATCAAAACCAGAAGGATGAAGGTGCTGTCTTGTTATTTTAGGGCATGGACTTACAATAGCGTCGTCACTAACAATCGGTTCAAGATGGCCTAAAATATCTCTCCAATTTACTGTGCCTTTGAGGTTGAGTCCAAAATCACAATATAATCCATACTTCATCAAATTGTTCCTGATGAGCTTGATGATATGTGGAACATCGTGCAGGAAATATAATTTGTGCTCTTTGAATTGGAAAGAAGATGAAATATGATCAACATTTAATGATTTTGCAAGTGCTCGATTTTTGCCGTCTCCGTCACAAACAGTAGCAATTACATTGAAACCGGCTTCAAACAGTGCTTCTAAGTTTTCT